CTGTTGTAACGTCTTATTTTCATTTCTCGTTCTTTTTTTATCTTTTGTTAAATTTTCCTCCAGTTTATTAATTTTAATAATTCTTTCAAAAAACAACTTCTATTCTTATTTATTCATTGTACTGTTTCATGTTTCAATTATTCTGCTTTCACCATTATTATATTCTTCTCTTTACGTAAAATATATTTTTTTCTCCTCTTTTTCTAATTAATGGAAATGTATTCAACTCACAGTTGCTAAGTTGGAACCAATTCATAACTAACCCTCTATTGGGTTTTAAAGATTCTAAATCATGGGAGGATATTGTCCATCTTTCTCTCATGAAGCTCCTGGAGAATTTGAATCGCTAAAGGGGATCAGCCTTTAGGTTAACAAGGCTACCAGGAAATATTAGGATTTTAGTCCCTTTTTTCTTTTTTGTAATTATTGTATGAGTCTATTGCTATAAATTGCCCTCTGATCATTTATTTTGCTGTATCACAAAGGTTTGGTATGTTGTACTATCATTCTCTTTTGTTGAAAGGCATTTTTTATTTCTTCTCTCACCCAGTAGTTTTTAAATAATATTAGTCAATTTTCACGTACTTGTTTCCTCCCATTGATCTTCAGTTATTGGTTTCTAATTTTACAAAGTTATGATGAAAATACGCTTTATATTATTTTTAAATTTACTTGCTTTGTGGTCTACCATATGGTCAATTTTGGAGAATGTTTCATGTATACTTGAAAAGAATGTATATATTACTGTTAATGCATAGAATTTTCTTCAAATGTCTATGCGTTCAAGCTGATTAATTGTATTTCTTAGTTCTATTATGTCTTCTGGATTCATCCTGGAAAGGGTTAAACCGGGTGGCTCCTTGGAGGCAAGGATTCTGAGGCTCCGTCTAACATACTTTGGACATGTTGTGAGGAGAGACCGGTCCTTGGAGAAGGACATCATACTTGGGAGGGTGGAGGGACAGCACAGGAGGGGAAGGCCCTCTATGAGGTGGATTGATTCAGTGATTGGGATAATCTGGATGGGAGTGTCGGAGACAGTGCGATTGGCACAGGACAGGGCAGAGTTTAGGGCAGTTGTGCATATTGTTGCTATGAGTCACAAGCGACTCGATGGCACATAACAACAACAACAACAACATTATGCCTTCAATTTCTTTCTAGTGGTTCTGTCCTTCATAAAAAGTGTATTAAAATCTCCTACAAACATACATGAAAGCAGCAGTCAAGACATCAAAGGCAGTTTGTATTTGGAAAATCTGCTCTCAAAGAAAGACCTCTTTAAAGTCCTAATGGACAACGATGTCAGTTTAAAGACTAAAATGGCTTCTAAAGTCATAATATTTTCAGTTGTAGGCAATATTTTCAGTTGTATCATAAGCATGTGAAAGTGAATAAGGAAGAACAAAGACGAGTTGATGCCCTTGAGTTGTGTGGTACTAGAAAGGAATATTGAATAGACTATATTCTGGAGACTAAGGTACATGTGATCCAGGCCACAGTCTTTGCCATTACTTGCTATGCGTCAGAAGGATAATGACTAGGGATGACAGAAGGAGAATTAAAGCCCTTGAACTGTGGTGCTGGAGAAGAGTTTTGAATATACCGTGAACTTTTAGGAGAACAAATTGGTTTGTCCTACGGAGGGTAAAATCAGGTTGCTTCTCAGAGGCAAGGATTCTGAAGCTTCTTAGTCTGACATACTTTGGACATGTTGCAAGGCTAGTTCAGTCCTCGGAGAGGGGCGTCATACTTGAGAGGGTAGAGGGACAGCACAGGAGAGGAAGACCCTCAATGAGATGGATTGATTCAGTGACTAGGGTAATGGGAGGTAGGTGTGTTGGAGACAATAAGATTGGCAAGGGATAGAGCTGGGTTTAGGGCTGTTGTATATATGGTTTCAATGAGCCACAGGAGACTCGATGGCACATAATAACAACAAAAATAACAACAACAATTATTAGTTTCCATTAAACAATTCCCTTTAATATTTCCCGTAAGGTTGATTTGGTTTTTAAAACTGCACTTAATTTCTTTTTATTTAAAAGTGTCTTCTGTCATCATATGTGAATACATAAATACACATGTCACCCTATATCCTTCTTGCTTGCCTCAAAAAATACTCCAAAGCGGAAAAATAGTACAAACAAAATTTCAATTTTAGGAAAAATGAAAGTCACCTGCAGCCAAATCTTTCTGAATGTTCCATTCATTTGTCCCATTATTGTCCGTCCTGTGGTAAGGAGAGCAATGAGTTCTAGTTCTCCTCAAAAAACCTCAACTGATATTATTATGCTTATCATATCAATTTGTCTTCCCCACCATCATCCATTACTTTTTACCCTTGCATCACACTATTAACACACATGCATTTTTTCATTCCATTCTATCTGGTAAAATGTTGTGTTTAAAGTTTTTTAATGATTCCCTTTGCAATTTGACTGTGATCACCTGATTCCCTAGGTCCCTAAACATGAAAAAAAAATATTAATGATTGCTAGTGTAGCCACAGGGGCTCCATCTTGTTCTATTTATCATCTTGACTGTCTAAGTAGGTGCTTTGTTTGTTAATATACTAGACTTTTGTGACTGCAGGATCTAAGAATCTGCAGTTTATACATCTCCACTTTATACACAAAAGGTATGTAATTTGCCTTGAAGTCTATTCTACTGTCTTTATTTATGGCTGTATTATTAGTGCCCATCTAGTTACCACAGTGCCAATTGTAGTCTTCTTCAATAGTACAAAAATTGCATTTATATCAACCGTGTAAATAAAAGTACATTTTAAAAGGCATTAAGAATT